TGCTTCGTTAGGTCTCATTAATCTTCTTCCTTCCACTCGTTCGCGCCTCATTTATTGTTGTGTAGTCTCGGTTGACGGTTACTCTATGACTTTTCCATCCCTTGTATAAATGTATAGTCGCCTCCCTACCTACATCTCTCATCCCATCATGCTTTCATCTTTACATCTGTCCTCCATACCTATGTCTCTCTGTTTCTCCAAAGAGGGACCAGTCGGTACGGCGGCGTCCGATAAAACCCCGTGAGGAGCACGTAGCCGAGCCGGCCGGCGGGTGAAATCCTGGGAGCGCAGCGGCGATGATTGCTGCGGTGGCCTCCGTTCCGGTGGCGGCCGACAGACAGCGCGGCAGGCGCCCTGTTAGACAGTGGATATTAGGTGGCAGACAGCAGACAGCCCCGTGGTGGCCGGCCAGATAGTAGATATTAGATGGCAGACATCACACAATGCCGGCTAGCATAACGTGGCGACTGACAGGCGCCGCGGTGGCCGACGCCCTGTCGAACAGCCGATATAAGACGGTATGCATTATACAACGCTGGCGGACCATGGCGCCGCAGCTGCCGGGCTTGGTATCATGTATTTCTGAGTAACGCCTTGTTGTTCTTCTTTTTTTTTGCAGCATAGACCGCTGTATACAGAGGTCTATGTTTGCAGCATTACGAGGGATCTTGCCGATTATTTCGGAAGCCTAGTTTTTCTTTATAAAGACAGATCGCACAAAGCAGGACATCCATTGTGCGATTATCGTGTTTGTGACCATGACTCGTGTCGACGAAGTCATTCGACTAACTTAACGGTGTCGTTTGCCGGGCCAATTTGTGTGCCTACAGTGGAAAAACAGTTTCCGTTTCGCTGTTCCCACCGCGCTCGCGGCTTGCTGGTGAGGACCAGCGACCTGAGATCTGCGAGCGTCCCCCGGGCCGCACCTCTGACTCTGAACGGTGACATTGTGTCTACTCCACCCTCCTCACTCTCACTGCGGGCAGAGCCACGCCGGCATTGTCCGAGCGGTTGATGTTTAAATCGGCGCGTCCAAACGCTTCGTGGCGCGCCCACTTTTCCACGTGTTTGCGCGCCATTCGAAGCTGACCTCGAAGGCGCGCCGCCTCAGTGCTCGGTTGGCCGGCCGTTACGGTGAACCGGCGGGGGTCGTGCCCGCCGCGCCCTGGCACCGATCCTGAATAGACGGCGGTCGGTGCGCCTGTCTCAACTGTCCGCCCACCCACCTGCCTGCCAATCCGATCGTGAGTCGATCGGTGTATTGGTCTGATACACAGAATCTGGCTGCTCAGTGCTCATCTCCGATATTTGCTCGTTTCTTGTTAAAATTTAGCAATTATCTGCCTTTGCAGTGTTTGTGCTGTCTGTTCTCGATCTGATTAGCTCAGCTCTCCCTATCATTTTATCCTTTATCCCTGCCAGTCCTGGTGATCTTCCCCTCCTTTCACAGTCCGCCCTCTCCAGCCTGCCCTCACAGCTGCCTTCGGCCGTCAGCCTGCCTTCCGTCACCTGCCACCTGCCTGCCACTACCGGCCGATCTGGCACGCGTTAGGCATTCGTTGACCCCGCCGGGCGGTCGCCGTGGCCGGGCGTGCTCGGTCGTGCCGCTCCGGCGCGCGCGGCGTGCACGCCCCACGCCGCTCCCTGCAGAGGGGCCGGAGAGAGGCACGGAGAGTGCCGAGGTGGCGTGTCGGTGGGTGTGTGGAATGGTGGGTTTTTAGGGGTCTAACGTGCGATCGTGTGGGTAGATGAAGCTGGGCGTTTTAGTGCGGTGGAGGTGAAGTGTGGGTTGATAATTCGTGGGGCGTTGTCACGGAGCTCAGCTGGGATTTACCCGTGATGGGTGGCGCGAGTTTGATTATGAATGGTTTGTTTTATTTTCATTCATCGGTAGATTAAGCCTGCTATGAACCTTTCCCATACAGTACGCGCCCCTGTCTCGTGAGAACTTTCCCCGAATGACTGATAGAATTACTGTCGGAATCGTATCGCTGGCCGCTGTCTCAGTGTCCACTGTCCAGGAACTCGATGTGGGAGTGTGGGCGCCGACCGCCGCCGTATCAGACCGCCCGGCCGGCTCTGTCCCAGTTTTTGGGCAGTCTCTAGCCTTGGAAATATATCGGTGCTATTGAACGATCAGGTGTTGGTTGTTGGGACACCCACACTCGCAGCCATTTTTTTTTTAGGTTCCAACACCAAGACATTTCAGCCACTGCCGTCCTCGAACGCTGCGCCACGGTACCTATCTTGCAGATCTTTCACTGCATGGCTGCTGTGCTGGTCCTCCGACCAGAATATTGAACGAACTGGCCTCCGTGACCGGCTCCAGCGCTAACCCTGGGCGGCCGTCGATTTGGTATTCATTAATCGTCAGGGACTCGTTTTATTCCGAATGGATTGACCGCAGACCTACTGTGTCATAAAACCACAACATCTGGGTCAAGTGAACACACTCACGCAGCCATTCGTTAGAACTATCATCAGTTACTACTCTCTCATTATGAAGATTGGTGCAGCTACCTACTAGTTTGATTACTTCATGAGCTTCCTCTCTGTCCTGGACATTGCCAGTGTCTTTCCTCACGTCGAGGCATGCTGTACGACCTCCTCATGGAAGCAATGCGGTATGCGTGCTCTGTGAACAGGAATGCCGGTCGGGTCTGTCCGCATGCTTTAGGGTGCGCTGCTGGATTACAAATCCGCGCACATGCCATTCCTTCCAAACGACTGCCAATGCCGGTCGCCGCTCTTTGTTCTTGATCGGTCGGCTAGGCATTGTGATTAACTACTAATGGCTGCGGTTAGGATGGTTTTTGTATGACATCGGTGCGGTATACCGCAAAGATATATCTTAATGTTGAAGATATTAACTTATTGAAATATATATCTTTCAATTTTTTAACCATCAATTATATAACTGGTAGGGTCTTAAGTTTAACCGCTTTGAACTCATCTATCTCCCATGTCCTGTTATCACTTATACTTTTTCCGTCACCTGTCTTAGTCCTATATCATATTGTATTCTACATGTCGTTGTGTGCCTTGTTCATTTCGGTTTTAATATTCTTTCACCGCTTGTACCCGGCCCTTTTCTCGCGCCCGCACCTGCCTGTCCCTTGTCTCCCCCGACGCCTCCCGCGGCCCGCCCAGACACCACCCGGGGCGCACCGCTGTTCCGTCTACTGCCGTTTCCGGCGCACGGGACGGCGGTGAGCGTCGCCGACCGCCGATCAGCATAGCTGGCACCCGCGCACCTCGCTCCAGCGGGCCCGCTTCCGGTCTCGTTCGGCCCGCCGCCGTCACTGGCCGGCCGCCCGGCGGCGCTTGGCGCTTGGCGTCCCTAGCTGGGCGGACATGTGACGGTTTGCGGCGAGACGCGCTGCTCCAGCAGGCTTCGCACACCTTGCTAGGACCTGCTAGGCCGTGCTAGGCCGTGATGGGCCGTGCTGGGCTGTGGTGATCCTTCTGATCGTCATGGGCCGAGCTAGCCGCGCTTAGTCCCGGCCATGCCCGGCCATGCTGGGTCGCACTTGGTCGTACTGTCCGTGCTGGGCAGTGCTGGCTGTTTTGGGTCGCATTCCGTGACTCCGTCGTACTCGGGGACATAATTTACCAGGAAATGCGTCAACACCAGGCAGACATGAGACTGGTGCTGCGTGGGTTAGCGCGTTGGAGCCGGCGGGTGGAGTGGTCACTGGCCAGTCGAGCTCTAAAGCCGCTACGTAGCGGGCGTGGGTGCAGTGGCGCGCGGCGTGCTCGAGTGGAGGTGTGTGGTCGCCGGTCTCCGTCTGGTTGGCTGTGGAGGCAGGAGATGGCTCGTTAATTGTTGTCGGTACCTACTCAGTGAGACGGTGAGTACCGACGGCTGGTTTGCTTTGGAGCGGTAGAACGGACCAGGATCCAAGGGAGCCGACAGCTAGACGTGTAGAAGGTGCCATCACCGCACCGTGATGTCGGCTTTGTTGCACCTTTGGAGCTTTGATTTATTAGCAGGGGTCGATTCAGTTGAATTTCATCAGCATTATCATTAGTTTCATTTTCATATGTTAGTTTTTTCGTAATTCGCGCTTTCCAGTCGCGCTTTCCAGTGACAACTCCGATGTGATTGGTGGTTTTACAAATCCATGTGTTGCTGGTTATCATCTTCAACCTTGTGTACCGTGCAGTATCATTGGCCTGTGGATTGAGCCGTACCATTTGCACCACTGAGACGGCCCTTTGTCGCTCTATCCTGCCGGCCGGTGCGCCTGTTTCCTTCCCTGTTGGCGTCCGTGCCGGTCGGTTCCTGACCAAGTTTACCCGTGGCGAGCTGTGCCACGGGTCGGGTCGGTCCGCCGGTTGTTGGTGATTAGAACGGCTGGTTTCCGGGGCAGTTTTTACCGGGTGATTGATTATGCTGAGTTTACACTTACTTCTGCTGTGAATAAGGAACCTCTGATGCTGGATGGATAGGTTATTGAAATCGAGACTTTTGTGTAAGCTATGGGACTTGCCTACGGAACTAAGACGTGCTACTGTACTGTGGCTCAGTGCCATTTTCGTCACTGTAACTTGACTTGCATCAACATAGATCATGCTGATGCAGCGCACGGATCCATTGTACTTTGTCCCACATTTCTTATATACTTCTCACATACGTGTTGGGAGCCGACAGGCGTAAAAATTATCACTTTTCCGATTTCGCAATCTCATTGTTTGATGATATCTACAGTGTAGTGCTTGCTGTACAAGCGAACTTTGCAACTTGGTCTCAGTCTCGCTATCGTTGCATGTTCCCGCAAAGCTTGAGAAGCATTTCGAGGACAGCCTTTGTCAGAGAAGTTTAGTTAATCCCCGACTCAGGTCGGTTGCAGAGGTGTGTTCCACAATTTTCCTCTGATGGGGACGGGGGACATGTATCTATTCTATTTCCCTGCGCACCTTGAGATGGACGGCGCAGAGAGCAATGCCTTCCCTTCCCTCTGTGGTTGTCATTTTAACACCTCCCCATCCGTCCCCAGATGGACGGGGCGGGGCCGGCGCTGGTGCGGCGCGGCTCCATGCGGAAGCTGCTGCCCAGCGTACCGGACCAGCAGCAGCAGCTGGCCATGAGTAACCAGCTGATCGACAGCCGGACCAGCTCGCCGCGCGGCGCCCACTGCTACGGGCCGTTCTTCCTCGAGTATGCCCTGCTGGCCGAGTACAACCTGCTGCAGCGGCAGCGGCTGCCCGGCGTGTACACCGTGCCCGCCGCGCGGACGCCGCTGGGTGGGTACCGGGACAGACGCGACGGGAGGGGACGGAGGGGATGGGAGAAGTCATGTCTAGGGGGAAGGGGGGGGGGGTTGAGAGGGTGTGTTAGGAAACGGACGGATTTAGGTAGGATGTGAGCAATTTAGAAGGAAATCGAGCAAGAGATGTGTGTAAAGATGCATGCTCACTTAGCTTTCGACCGGTTTTTATCATGAGTGGTATAGTTAGGCTAATAATGCTGTTAAATCAGTTAATCGTGATCAGCATGATCATATAATGCTGAGCGTCTAGTATGATTCGAATTCAGTATTGAATCTGCTGAGTGTCAGGTGTGGCTCATTGTGTTCACTCAACCGAGTGACCAGGATGTTGATGTTGGGTCGTGATACGAAGCGGTACGACGTGGTTCGTGGTGGGGAATGATAGTGAAACTGTGGGTGCGATTGATAAACGTCATGCACTGAGCTCAGAGCTTGCACTCAATGTGCCCTCACTATCGGTCCTGTGGCAATGTGTTAGTCTTATCAGCAAGTGTTTATCCAACGATGTCCTTTGATACGATCATTCTTTGTCCTTTCATTTGATTACGAAATTGTAACTATGCTGTTAACACGCCTACTATTTCAAGCTTGTGCGGGCATGGTCGTGTTCCGTAACATATTTCCCGTCCTGTCGTTTCAGTGTGGTTCGCGGTGTTGTTACCAGGAGGGCGTGTTGTGACCACTGTCCTGTTGTTTCAGTGTGGTTCGGAGTGCTGTTCATACGGCAGGGCTACTACCAGGAGGGCGTGTTCCGGTTCTCCGTCATCATCCCTGAGCAGTTTCCCGACGGAGACTGCCCGGTAAGAAAGGAGAGAGGGAGGGAGGGCGCTGGTGGTTTTGAAAGGGAGAGGGAAGGAAGGATATGGATAGTGGATACCTATAATAGTAAAGGAAAGTCAGCTGCCGTGGAACTTTGTGCCGAGCTGGGGGGGGGGGGGGAGGGGGGCCTGAGCTCTCCAAATTCGACGCCGGCTTGGCTTTGGAGCCGCAACAGACCGCGGAGGTCAAGATCACCGCTAGGGCGGCGGCGGAATTGCTGCGCCCGGGCCCTTCCAGCTCCGCACTAAGTTTCACCCGTGGAAGTCAGAGCTCGTATCGCTCTCAAGTATTAGATAATCATCTAGCCGCCGCTTTCCTTATCTCAGCTCGGCTAAGTGTCATTTCATTCATGTTAGCCTTTGGCTCGCTCACTTCAAGTCCCCGGATGCTGCCTATCGTTGATAGCTTTCCGCCTTTGCACTGTATGAATCACTCGGTTACAATGGCCAGCGACACCCGGTACCTCGTTTTTCCGTCGTAAATGCGCTATTATTGTCGTCATCGTGTCCCTTCGGTAACAACTAGGTCACCGTGCGAACTATTAAATCACACAACATCCGAGCATCTTGCCTTGGTTCGGCCTTGTCCATTGTTTTTCGTGGACGGTACATTATCCAAACATTGAGTGTATCACGACTGCATTGTCACGGTTCTGCCGTCACGGTTTACTAAGTATCATGACCGTGACAGTAAGCCACTGCGACGCCGAGTGTGCGAATTGCGAGGCTCATGACTTGTTATCACTGATGCGCCAGAGAAGACCGAATCAAATCATCATTATCACAGTGTACTGAATAACAAAAAGTGATAACATAAGCATAGTGGACTGAGTAATCGGAAGAGACTGAGCAACTAGAGTAGACTGAGATACCAGAGATTAAGAGGGTGGACCGTGGGTACTATGCCGGGACTATGTTCTAACCTCCCCTCGCCCTCCGCTTGCAGCGAGTGGTAATGGAGACGCCCGTCTTCCACCCGCTCGTCCACCCGGAGACGGGCGAGGTGGACATCCGGCGCGGCTTCCAGCGGTGGAAGCGCAACTCGCATCACATCTGGCACGTGCTGCTCTACCTGCGGAAGGCCTTCTACAAGATCGAGACGGTGCAGCCGTCCAACCCGGAGGCGGCCGTCATGTGAGTGATCCAGGATGCTAGTAGGGAGGGTCAGCTGCCGTAGATTAGAATAACAGTGCTGTGCAGTGCTATAACCCGTGCTCAGTTAAGCCTATAATCTGGATCGTTGTATGTCAACTAGTCTTGTGTTTTTTCCTATACTTCGTGTCGTATAAATGATGTTACTCGTATATTCAATACGTCATATGAAGTCCATTCGGTTCGGGACTGGTTGAAAACTCCGGAACTGAATCAATTGTGGGATAGTGAAACATGACACCATGTTCATTGATGCTTCTTAGCGCCATTTAGAGTAACTGCATTTATTTAGGCAGCGAGACAGCCCGTTATTGGGCTTTCCACGCAAACGCTACGGACTCGCATTTCTGATCCTTCTTTTGTGCCTGTGCCCAGGTTTGAGAAGGCGCGTGACATGTTCGCGCTGCGAGCCGCCGAGTGTGTGAAGCTGAGCAGGGACCGGCTGATGGACCCGCCGGCCTCTGACGACCCGCACAGTATTGTGTTCAGCCAGTTCCGGCCCGAGGTGCACGAGCCCGTCCGACAGGCCATGCTCCAGCCCAAGGTACCGTAGGGGAAATGGATGGGATGGGGAACGGTGGATGAGGGTAAAGGACGGGTGACTAGGGGGCGTGAGAGGAAGAGGGAGAAGGGAGAGAGCAAGTGATGGTGTATGCTGTGAGTCGTAAAGAAGAATAGGGCGGCTGTGGAGTGTTGGAGGAGTGCCGAGTTGTCTCAACGAAACAGTCCCCCCGTTAGAGTAGATACTGGATACCAAGTACCAACTGCTTACATTGTTCGCTGTTTTATGGAGGGTGGACTGTTAATCGTGCTGGTCTCGATCACAATTGGTTGGTGGAGTGTAAACTTCAGGACGGGATGTTTGGTGATTAGATCGGCGTGTTTAGTTTGAGGCCGAATGTGTCTTCCGTTTCGGGTTCACTGGCTGGCATCCGCATGGCTGTGGTAGATAGTAGATATGACCTTATCTTTGTTCCATGTTCCTTATTTACAATATTTGTAATGAAGTTAAAATTGTTCCTTTTGTATGCGTCGTCAGCTGTGGAATTGATATTTGAAATTACCCCCGGACCCATGGCGTTTTCCGTGGAGTGGGTACCACATTAGTCACTATTGTTCTTTGGTTCGTAATTTCTCTTCTGACCGCTGGCTGCTTGCCGCCTGGCTGCTGACTGCTGACCGTTTACATCTGACCTCTCACCTCTGACCGGTTCCGTTCCTTGCAGAAGGAGGAGGACCTGCCCTCGGGACCGGCCAGCGCCGGCTACTCCTGGGTCCAGCCAGGCACTCTGGACATCTTCTCCAAGCCCGAGTCGCTCTGAGGTCCGCCCGCCGCGCCGGACAGCCCGAGTGTGACGCTGAGTGACGTTACGGAGGGGTGATGTGACGGCGAGTGACGTGACGGACGGGCAGCGTGACGGCGAGTGATGTGACACTGAGTGACGTGACGTCAGCCGGGCCCTCGGACGGTGATGCGCCGCCGAACCAAAGCGCCCGAGAGACTGTGATTGTGTGTGTGATAAAGAGTTACTTCCTCGAAGACGCTAGTACGTGGCTCCAACTAAGGACTGCAACAGCTAACTTTAAAGGGACCCTCCCACCTTAACATTAGTTTTGAGTTGAGATAGCCAAGTTTGCGGCCAGGCTCAGAAACCACCATTTATCCTGGTCGCAACCCCCGCAGCTTTATGGTGTTCAAGAAATTTATTCCCTTTACTTGCAGGGTGGGACCAGCGTGGTCCCTATCTCTTAACCATTACGGGAATCTGATGACGTCATCAGGCTTTCGAACGTCCGTTAAATGTTTGATTAAAACGTTTTGTAGCGCGCGGTGGTATATGCTGCTTTGCGCGCAACAAATGCCGCACTTTCAAATAAAGTCGCTAGGAACAGCGGAGATCCCAAAAAGTAAACAAAAGTAAAAGTCTAATATCTTGAAAACCGGTGAATATTTTTCGATGAAATTTGGTAGATATTCGTTTTTGCTCTTTCTGAACCGAGCGACATCACTTTCATGCCAATTCATTAACTTTTTTGAAGGTGGGAGGGTCCCTTTAAACTCGAAGATTACCATCGTCAAGAGTGACGTAATGAATCATAGTGCAGTCTGCAGGTGGACAAACACCCCGCGCAACTGACTTCCTATTAGTGGCGACGGATGGAGAGACATCTACTACGCTGTGAGGCGGACGACCTTGCAGTAGCGACCCACCCGACGAGCCGTCTGGCAGTACAGGGGACCGCGGCGACAAAATCAATGATATTCTGAGAACGAGAGCCGCGGGGCTGCGATATTGACCGTAGTTAGCCGTGTAGTGCGGGACCCGCCGAGACGGGTTCGGCGAATATTGTATAACAATATTGTATAACAATGTAAAACAAGACGTAGTTTGGCAGCCGATTCAGAGTGAATTTCGCTTGCATGCGTCGTTAGGAGTTGAAGTCTGAGGCATGAAATACGAAGCACAAGTACATCCTAATAGTTCTTCACCATTAATATTTAAACATTAACATGTATGTACCGATTGTATGTGATGCTATGCTACGTTTGTTCCTCCCTGATCATAATTGATATTCGTAATTGTATGTTGCTGATCTATGAAGGCGATTGCCGATATTGTATCCCGCTAGTGTGTCTTCCATGGTTGCGCGCATTCCCTCTATGAAGTCCACCGTTACCCCGATTCCAGGGGCGAAGTGACACTGACATGGATAATATGTCCCGCATAATGATGTGTGAATGATCCGTCTCGTCTGACGAATTCCTAACCCGTTTTAATGCCGACACTGACGTGCTTCCTGTGATTCTAGTAGCGGCGGAACCGAACCAGGCCTGGACGCAGCTTCTAATTAGAGCCTGGCGCCGCCGTGGTTATTTAATAAATGGCTAATGCATCGTCACGTGTGTATTTCGGATTATTTACATGATGATACTATTCAACATCTTATATAACGCTGCATATGGCTCGTCCAGCTATGACGCACCATGTATATTGTATAACAATGTAAAACAATGTTAAATTACACTAATGAGTATCAGCTGGGACAAAACCGTGCAGCGGCTGTCAATGACTGGCTACAGCGGATTCGTCGATCGACTTTTAACCCCGCCCGGCTCCGCAGCGGTGGCTTGCGCTTCACAAAAGCGCAACAGATCTTCACCTTGACCGCATGACATTATGAGCACATATGCTGCGTCTGCCTCAAGGCACTCGCACGAAAACATCAACAACTGGTCTAGAAATCGCGTACTGCGCTTTGAGCATATCTGTCATCAAGTATATACAAATGACTCACAGTCGACGAAACAATATACAATATGCAGCCATAACGCCGCATCTCCATTGCACAAAGATGACTGCACCCCTTACCGCCACATGGTACCGCCACTCAAATGCACCCCACCCTCCTGTCATGACCTCAGCTCCCATCAGAGGCCGTCAGGTGTCGCTCGGGTGCGCGTCCATGTTACAGCGGCCCCTCATCTGCAGCAGGGCCGGCACCAGCTCGTTGGTCAGCTTGTACGTCTCGCCTTCCCACTGGAAGTGTGTCGGCGGCATCGTCTCGCCCTTGTCGAAGCGGAAGCCGCGGCTGAACTCGATGGCCAGCGCCGATCGGACCAGCCCGACGCCGCCGGAGCGTGCCGGTCCCGGGTGGTAGACTCGACCCGTGCCCGGCAGCATACAGAGCAGGTGCGGGTCGAACGCGGTCGACAGCAGCGCCCCAGCGTGGTTATACGACAGCTTGAAGTTCGACGACCCGTCGCTAGGCGCCAGCACATGTGTGAACACAATGGGCAGGTCGTTACAGCGGACAAAGTTTCGTTCGCGCCCGCACGGTGATATGAATGGGAACTCCGGGTACCGCTCCGTGTCGTTCATCCGCAGCTGGTTGAAGAAGAAGCGCAGGAATTTCTGCTCTGTAACGAGGGGCAGAACTCAGATTAACACAACACAGAGGAACAGATCAGCGTGAATGGGATGCGTGATTTCTGCCATTTCGATGGTACCGGAACTAATGTGCGTGAGACGCTGACAAAAGATGTCGAAAACATATTAATGACATCTGGAAAATGTAAATGGAGCAAGCGACTTCGAACAACCGTCTTTATGAAAGGCGAATGTTAACAATATGGCGATGAGGCACTGTCATGCAAATACTGATTCCGAACTTCGCGCTATTTGCATTTCAATTCTTATGAAAGAAGACCAAACAGAATGCAATTCAACGCCCCTGATTCAACAAGAAAATGAGATGACTGCATAAATAGTAGGCCACTCCCAAGTCCCAGACCCTATATACACTAACCTTTGATGCATGAGGTGAAATTCTTCATCTTGGCGTCGTCCAGGAACAGCTGGAAAGAACACGGGGCAGGTTACTCGGTCACCTCCGGCACCAACAGGCCACACGTCGACCAGATAATACTTGTATTAACATCACACTTTTTTAATGCAGAAGGGAGAAATCACTAAACAATCTGGCACTCCTTGCCTATTTGGCTAACCACTCACCACCAACTTACAGCCAAGATAAGAACCCATCGTCAGCCATACACAAATACCTCCCCGTCGTCCTACATTGAAGACGACAATACATCCACCATCGTCACCTCAATGGCTCAACATTATTAATTAGTACCGACACCATTCCATACTCACCATTCCCTGATGATCGATATAGTAGAAGTACTCTCGGACATTGGGTGCCGGCGACTGACCCTGGACATAATCAGAGAATGGTCCCAGGTGGGCAGGGCCGCTCAGACAGCGGCGCACCAGGGCGCGCGTCGGCCGCAGGGGCGCCGACAGAGCCGGCAGCATCCCCATCCTGCGGAAATGGCGGGGGAGAGGCTTAGAGAGCGAAATCAGTTAAAAATGCAGCTGCTTCTTCTTTTGGCAGCATGCAATGTGACCATGAGAGTGCTGGCATATCTATGTGTAATGTGCGATGTGCATTATTCACCTTCACTGATTTGGGATTCCATACTCCTTTTGATGCCCAACCACAATGGCTGATAAAAATGATGATGGAAAAAAAATGAACTGGAAAGCCTTGTCAGTCTTAATTTGCCTTGGATGGACTGGTGCATTGCACCTTTTTCATCCTATGTCTGCAAACAGACTGATGCAAATCTGCCCTCCCAGCAGCCAGCTAGGCCCTGTTCCAAGGCATGACACTACAGCACAATACACGTATCAGGGTATTGGGTTTCCATTCCACTTTCCATAGAAGCATCAACAAGCTTGGACACTTACAACGCTGGTCGCTGAAGGGTCAAGGCAAATTTGTTTCAAATGCCGCACCAACAATGTAGCAAAGCATACCATAACCATAGCTCACTGTAAAGTGTAACATCATGCTGTGAAACAGGGCCCGGTGTTAATGTAACTTGTCGCCTCTTTTCAGGTATACTGTCCTGTGTTTATACTTGTCATTACGGAGCGAGCGAAGCGAGCGTAGTCTTTCCTTAGATTAACGGAAATTTCTGAGTATGAGCGGCCGGCCGGCCGGCCGGCCGTGGTCACGCTTTTGCGAGGCTTATATCTCAGCAACCACTTGACCGATTTACACGCGGTAATTTTTGTAGGGTAGCTTCATTCCTTCTACCAAGTATTGGACTATTCCCGATGCATGTGGGTGACCCCTTATGCACGTGCCACGTGCAAAACGAAGAGGTGTCAGCTTTGTAATTGTTGCAATATCTCGGTAACTACTTGGCCGATTGCGCTGAAAGTTGGCATGTAGGTAGGCACCCACTAGGCACTGCATATACATGTGCCAGAGTTGGGGTGCTGCTGCACGTGCGCACGTGCAGGGGTCGTTTCCAGATCTCGGGAACGGCTGGACCGATTGCGCTCAAATTTGGTACACGGTTAGGGACCGGTTAGTAGGGTGCCGTGCACAAGTCAGTTGGGACCCATTTTGCACGTGCGCACGTGCAGGGTGCCGCTTCCAGATCTCGAGAACGGCTGGGCCGATTGTGCCCAAATTTGGCACATCGCTAGAGACCAGTTAGTAGGGTGCCGTGCACAAGTCAGTTGGAGGTACCCCCTCGCAATTTCGCACGTGCAAGGCCCACCCTCTCGCTCGCTCCGTTAGTCGCCCCAAAAGGCGTTATACTGGTGTTTAAGACTCTCTTGCCATACTTTTCTGGCTGGTCCTGCCCAGGTCCTGCCTGCTGTGTGGAAATCAAAATTGTGGGAAATCGGTTTAGTCCAAGTCTGTTCAGTCATTTTCATAATAAATCAACAACCATGAAATGCAACATTATTATGAAAGCTTGAGCTTCAATGATACAGAGGCACGCAATAAACATACATTTGGCGGTGAAATGTAAAATAAATAGGAAAGTGTGAAGATAAAACGTAAACTCAGGCACTTACGTAATCGAGCGTTTGCCTGCGTTTGCCAATGCCACACACAACACAGCATGCGAAGATCGGTGCGGGATATTTTGTATCAGCTGCGCTGTTATTGTGAACTCATTCAGCTGATATGAGTTTTTCTTTTACCGACGGTACCTCAAACTAAATTTTTAGTATCGTCCTCAGAAATACTCAGTTGGTCATCAAAATATCAATTGGCTATCTATTAACATCAAGCCTGTAAGTATTACTGGGAAAGCACTAGCATGCTGGCGAATCGATCCCGTAAGAATCCTCTATCAAATTAGAATAGTATCTAGGATGAGTCTGTGCAATGATAGAAACAGCTTCGGCTGCAATTACAATCAAATGTTGTTGGCGTAGCTGCATTTTTTTTTTTTTTTGGTGATTAGGCCAGGATGTCTTGTCCAAGGTCCAAGGACCAACATTAGCCAGCATTTCGGTATGTTCCGTTCCAGAATGTCCAGCTCTTTTCTGCATATACAAATTTATAAATTAGACAACCACGGAATCTTCGGAAGTCTCTGCAGTCTGCATGATATTGAACTAATGGCCAGGATTATTTTCAGGCAATCACAACACTTCACCGACTCACCATTCCTCGCATATGTGAAGCGTATGACGTATCTACTACGTGTAACCTTACCTACCATTGTCATTTTCATTCATATCAGCATGCCACAGCGTCATACCTCTCGGGCGTGACTCACATCGCCTCGGCCACGCTACTACAAGCAAGCCAAGCCAGTTATAAAGAAAAATCTGAGCGAACTAAAAAAACAGGCCACTCACAAAATGATAATGGTTTATTGTTCACAAATACATTATGTTAGTTGACATGTACGGTATCACGGTGGTGGGCGGCCGGCGGCCGGCGGGCGCTGTATCGCCGCCCCCAGCCGCCGCCGGCGCCCCTCTGGGGGTACGATCCCGAGTGGATGTCTTGTATCCTCGTGACCGGTGGTAAAATAACACACGTCCCAGCCAGCACTAGCACACACACACACGGGTCACACGGGTCACAAAGCCTCGTTAGTCGCAAATATCAGGAATTTATTGGCTAAAGGACGGGACGGAAAAGTGGGGGTGAGCAAACATACTTCACGGGGTAAGCGTTATCGTTTGCGTAAAAAACATGCACACAAACCGTCACGCGTGGCAAAAAATGAACGGCGGCGCGCGGCATGTTTCAGCTACGACAAACCGAGTCGGTCGTGGCGACGCGACATGCTCCCGACGCGGCCCTGTGCGGCCCGTCTGTGCCACACGTTCTCACCGGAGAACGGGGGACAGCCGGGCGGCACAGCCCAGACGACGTTCCAAATGAGATCACAGTAGTCTCTCCAAACGGTCAACACGCAGAACGTAGAACGGTGCATAGTTTCGGTAAAAAATCCCACGGAACAGAAGTTCGGGCGGCGAATTTTCGGTAAAAAGCAGATCGAAGGTAGCTCGCTGGGGCGAAAGATCCCTCGTAAATCGTCCACACCACTCTCCGTTCGGAATATCGTCGTGGAATCTCGAGTAAATGTGCGGCCGCCGCGACTCCCGTGCAGACAGGCGCCAAGACAGCCGATCCGCACTCGCTACTGTGCACCGGCCTGTGGTAGCCGGCTGGTGCGTCCCCGAGGGAAGTCCCCTAGAGCACAGTGACTGGTGGATGGCCCGCAGGTCCACGAGCCCCAAACTCATCCAGTGGAGCACCGGCCTCAACACACCTCTTACTCATTTTCACTAACCATGATCTTTCCCCACCCGACTGGCGTCCTTTGTTTACCCAATGCACGTCCGGCCACCCAGCCCCGCCCCTCGTTACCCGCACTGGCTCAGTCATACTTGGGGATGGGTTTTCGCGTGGAGGCGCGCCGCCGGGGCAGCGTGGCGTACCCGGAGACGTCGGTGGTTGCTGACGACTTGACTCGGGTGGAGGCCCGCTGCCCGTGCAGGGGCGGGCGGGCGCGCGCTGCGCGGCTGCCGCCGGAGCGCCGACCGGCCAGCGCCGCGTCATCGTCCTCCCGGGTGACGGCGTCGTAGAACGGCTCGCCGGAGTTGTACCCGGAGCTGATGTCCTCCATCGACTGCGCCTGCTCCCACGCCGGCGGCGGCGGGCGGTCCGCCTCGTCACTCTCCTCGCGCTCGGCCGAGCGCGGTTTGCGCGTGGCGCGCGCGCGCGGCACCGCCGGCTTGGTGGCGGCGCGGCGCGGTCGGCGCTTGGGTTCGGCGGCCGCCTCGGCAGCTCCGCCCGACGGACCGGCCATCGGGAAGGTGACGGGCTCGGCGTCAGAGTCCAGCTCCTCCGTCACGTCAACGATCTGCGGCAGCCGCTTCACACGGTTAGAGTTGAAGTCGCCGGCGTCCGGGCCGCCGGCCAGGTCGGCCACGTCGTTGACGCTGTAGCTGCGCCTCAGGTGGTCGAGGATGCCGCCGCCGCCGCGGATCGCCGTCTGCATGATCATCTGTCGGAGAGATCAGGTCAGGTCAGAACAGGTCGCGTTATCGCAGGTCACAGCGCCGCAACGCGCCAGGTTAGAAGCACAAACGACCAAAGAGTGCATGTGGAACACAAGGAAGGGAATGGACAGGTAGACAGGTCATGATTGATAGATGTTATGACGGGAGTAGACAGACACACGTCTCCGTAAACCATAGTAAACAAAGTGGCACAACGCAAAGGACTATGTCCAGAGGAACACATCACTTGGATTAACTCAAAAGGTGTAGCTTGAGGGATTTGAACATAGCCGCTGTAAATTTGAGCAGCTACTGAGTCAAGAATTCTATGAAAATGTTGCCATGAAGCGGAAACTGCTGACAGGGATGCCACCAACAGACTAGCTCACATGACAGTTTTCTGACCGAGCCAGCCCAACAAAACTTCAGGCATGCCAATCCGACGCTAACCCACGCTTCCGCGTCCCCATTTGATTTCACCCTTATGGGCCATCAACATTCTCGGCAGGTTTACATCCCACGTGAATCAGGTAAGCACACACGCTGTGAGCGCCGCTATATCGCGCGTGTTTATGTAAATCTGTCCGGCGGGCGCGGCGGCCGCACGCAGCTAGGAATAGACCTGTGCCGTGCAGGTGCTCCGTCCAACGGAGCGGGAGAGCGCTGCGGGCCGGTCCTTCTCGAGTCTCGCACATACCGGCAGTAGGAAGGGAGGGGCGGGGATGACAGATGGGCTACAGCACTGGGTTCAGGATTCTGGGAGTCTGGTACTGACAAACGTTTTAGATATCCGGCATCGGTTAACACAGTTCAGGATTGAGTCAACAATGATCGGCGGTAAGACGGACACAGAAGACATGGCAACAGCTCTCTAAGTGGTTGGGAGATCTGGGTTGTTTAGGTGGAAGTGGAACATCATTGGAAACCGACAGGTTTATCATCAAGCATTATCAAAATATTTTGAGGGACGGTACTGGATCAAAGGTTAACCTTTGCAAAAGCAGCTCGGCATGCTGGAACAAGAAGTCACCTGCTTTAACGTGATCGCCCCTTTGCTACATAACAAGCTACCAGTAAGCAGCTCATCACCATCTGCACAATAACCATTGGCGGAGGAAAGTAAAACTAATCAAATTTGTTCAAAACCACTCATATATAACTTAATCTAACACCCGCCTGAAGCGCCGATCTCACCTGGGTGGCCATGTTGACTCCCCGCACACCCAGCGTCATGACGGTCGAGTAGCTCTTCTTGCTGGCGCGCTCGATGTACTGGTCGATCTCATTCTCATTCCGCTCCAGCCAGGGATGCACAAACTTCTTGTAGAGAATCGAGGACCCCCGTGTGACCGGCGAGAGCAGCCATATGACCAGCAGGATCTTGATTTCATAGTAGAAGGGAAACCACACCAGGAACAAGTCTGTCACCGTCTCCAGGCACGTGAAGAAGGCGAACACGATCCAGTACATCATCCATTTGACGTACTCCTTGATGTTCTTGGTCCTGACGGCCTTGTACGAGGCGAAGGCGGGGTAGAGCGTGCCGAAGACGAGGATCACCAGTCGGGAGAACATCTGGGAGAGCATGGTGACTAAGGGCGGCCGCGGGCGGCTCCCGGCCGGCCCTCACCGCGTCGGAGCCTCCTCCACCTGACGGGCAGAGGGCGGCGTTAGTCAAGGGCTCAGTGGCGCCACAGCACGGAGACTAAAAGGGGAGACACGTGGGTGTTATAATTTAATCAAACTCCTCCGCTACAGGACTGGGAGCACTGGTGTCACACTGGGGTCACCTTCGTCGCATCAGATGCTGCACACGAATTCCTCACATGATGGGCAAAACGACACAGAATGCAATTGCTTTTATTTCATTTCAACGACAGATACACTTTCTCGTGTAAAATAAGCATGAGGATGACCCATAATTTAATTGTGAACCGCGACTTAAGTGCAAAAAGTTCTAAACATAATCAAATTGGTGGGATACAAGATGCCGGATATGAAATGAAAACGAAGTTAATACGTGTAACAGAACAGATAACCATCAGAGCAGAAAACCATCAAATGTCAGTTGGGCTCTCATGTAAGTCAGGCTCTCGACCCTGGGAAGGCCAAAGCTGTGGCTTTGAACTCCTGACCATGGTAACCTCGGCTCACATCAGCCATGTGCAAGCCCGGTTCACATCAGCCATGTGTAAGCCCGGTTCACATTAGCCGGAGCGCGACAGAGCCCCGAACAATGCCGTTTTCCCCTCATAACGACACACTGCACTACCGGTCGGAACTGGCCATAGCGGGAGGCACCAAGGTTACATGAGCCCCGGTCTAACAATGTCTAACAGTCCCGACGCGAGCCAACGAGTCAGCGGGTTTACCCATCAGTTTTAGGTATCAGTGTCCTGCAGAAAACCACACCAAGCCGCGCCGTGCAGGAGACGGAAATACATTCGGTAGCGCCTACACAAGCACAGCAGTTCATTAATCACACCCATTGCTGAAGTGGTCCACAATGCCTGAGTGACGCAACAGGTTCAGCTAGCGTCCACGAAGGAGGACTGAACGACTCATCGGCGCCTTCCTTCCCGTCATTTCCGGGGTGAGGAAGGGCTGCTCTTGGCAACTGCTTCGATTACAGCATCCCTCAGAGAGGAAGCTCATCTTTTTCCGGAGGTTAACCTCTCAGACTAGCTACCTGCCTGTTTAGTAACCGATAGTCCTTATCGTTCTACCCAATCAGTGTTAAAAACACATGTGATACATGTGCATCTCATGAGGCGATCGGCTACGAAATGCAACGGAGCTGGAAGCGATGACGTAATGGGAGAGCTGGTTGAGACAGTCAAGACCACGACCGGTAGCAGAATAGAAATAAAACACTCAGATTCCAGATGCAGCACGTGATGCGATGGCCCTCACGCGCGGCTAGCTAACGGAGCAGACCAAGCTCATCTCTGCGTCATCAGCTTTAGAACGACTCAGCTGATTGCAGAATACTGGCGACAGGTAACGAGTGTGAATTTTCTGGCGCTAATGCAATCCCGACCCAAATCACGGTGACTTGCGGCTGGCACATGGGAATCCCTCTGGCTGTGACGGGCGGGCCCTCACCGCGGCCGCCGGCGCAGCGACCGCCAGCCGCCCCGGGCAGGGTACCCGTGCCTCGGGGCGGGGAGCGGGGGGAGGGGCTGGCCCACTGCCAGGAGCGCAGCACCTCTCGCTTTGTCGGCGGACCGAGCGGCGATCAGCTGACTAGGGAAGGGCGGGGCTGCGCGGGGGAGGGGAGCGGGCCGGAAGCAGACGGCTGCTCGTGGGACGGGGGGGGGGGGGGCGGGCCGCGAGGTCTGCCTCTGAAATGCCGTGTCAGCCCAGCCCCGGCAGCGGTGGCGGTCGTCACAGCCCACGGCGCGGCGTGCACGGCGCAAACGGTGCATGGCTACTGCTGGAGCGTTCAGCGGCTCAGTCACAACAAAGGAGCACCTGACACCAGGCGGCGAAGCTGGAACGCGGCTGAGCTCAGACGGCTGAGCTTCTACAGCCTCCAGAGGCACCCTCCCCAACACCCAACAGCGACACAATAAACAGCAACACTGGATAATAAACACTCAAAACAGTCGACCTGGCGAGGTCGGCTATCGGCGTGGGTGAAACAACAGCAGGACGCCGAGGGTCGACAGAGCTGCCGAGGGGCTCAACAGTAGAAAAACTAGAGCGCGATCACGACACGTAGCACGGTGCATCGCTATAGAGGGTTTGATAAACACTTCGTGTACCTCACCCGCTACTGAAAGCGGCAAAGACAGCACCCAGACCCAGCTCCAGTCCCGTGCTACCGTCTGCGGAGGCGACCGATCGGCAGCAGACGCTGTATCGCGTCACGCCACAGCCGTACCGGGAGAGCCGGTGGCGGCTGGCGGCGCCGGGCAGGCACGCGACATGTCGGTGCGCCCGCCGCCGGAGGCCAGCCGTTGCAGACGGAGCTATCGCCGCCATCTCCCCCCAGGGATGGAGGCGGAATCCGCGGAATCCGCCGCGGAGGGAGAGGGTGCGGTACAATCCGCCTCTGGGCGGAGGACACCCGACAGAAACTGCTGCTGATGGGAGCACATCGGCCATTACAAGCTGCCACGTCGAAGCAAGAACGCCAGCTACAATCCGCCGCGGAGAGAGTACTCCTGAAAGAACCCACCAACTGAGAGAGCCTGTTCAATACAATCTGACATTGAAAGGAACACGCCCGAAATACTCGTAATCCGCTGGAGAGAGTCGATCCGCGACAGACTCAGTCACTGGAGAGCGCACACCAGTTTTTAGTCTCCACGCAACGCATTTATGCTTTGCGAAACGCAGCAGGCACGGGACACAGCTGTGTTTCGGATACGATAAGTGATTCAGGACGAAATACCAATCGAACATTACGGATTCATCCGAGACGTCCGTTCAGTCACCACGGCAAACGACGCCGTTTGGTCAAGTCAACTCAGCCAGTCATCGTATCACGTGACCCAGCCGGTCGGCTCGGTCGGCTGATTTTGCGTGTCACGTGACCCGCGCCGACCTGTATTCACAGGCCGGTCACGTCTCGTTGAACAGCGCAGCGGACTAGGATCGGGGCCGGCAGCGGCCTAAAGCTCGCCGGCATACATACACGCCGCTACAGTATATACAGCCCCGAGGGGAAAGCAGGACAAGGCGAAGGGAAGCGGTCGATGGAACACAACGACACAAGATAGGACGGGATATGGTGAGACAGCAGGCCAGGACAAGGCAGGCAACACATGGCAAGGCAGATGAGAAACACAACAAACGCCAGACAGACCAAATAATTGAAAATGTTCAATACGAAGAAGTAGAACTTCTATGGAGTCTGACAAAAACGAGTCAGCGTGAAGGTAACGAACGGCGAGATCGAAAAACGTCGATCGATCCAAACCTCAAATACAATTTGATTCGATCCAAGCGAGTTTAGCCATTGAAAACCGGATATTTTTCGATACTTCTGTTCCTATTTGTAAGCCCTGAGCCACAAAAACCACGGAAGGGATACAACAATTGATATCAGTCATAATGACCTCCTCTCCCAACCGACAGTGAGTAATACCTACCCGTCCGCCGCTACCCAGTCCATCAAATACCGGGCTCGAGCGGAAGCGAGAGTGGTCAGCCGAGTTCAGAGTCGTCCCGGGTGAAAACTACGGCCCCAGTCGGTCATTTGTATGCACCGCCCGTGTGAGGCCATGGCCAAACGTAACAAGGCCCAGTGGTAGTAAGGCAGCCCTGCCGGCCGGCAGTGCGGCTCAGCGAGCGTCAATGTGCTGTGACCGAAAGAGAGCGGCCTGTGCAACGATCGCGATGACATAGGTCGAGGGAGGAGAGGGTGGCAGGGAAGAGGGTGGGAGGGAGGGGGAACGAAGGGAAGGAGAGATAAAGAGAGAGGGAGATAGAGAGAGGGAGATAGAGAGAGGGAGAGGGAGAGAGAGAGAGAGAGAGAGAGGGAGAGAGAGAGAGGGAGAGAGAGAGAGAGGGAGAGAGAGAGAGAGAGAGAGAGAGAGAGAGAGAGAGAGAGAGAGGGAGAGAGAGGGGGGTCAGCCGACAGAAAACAAATGATCCCCTCTCCACTTCAGCGCTTCCCTAATTTATAAATGAAAGCCTTGCAGTGAGGGTCAAACACGACGCAATCAAAACGACCGCGCGGCAGCTGTTCAAGTGGCCGGAATCGAGCACAAGTGGCATCCCGAGCACCCTCAGTCGCCTCCGCCTCCCCACACCGGCCCTGCAGGGTGGTGCAGTGGGGTGGGGAGCTCTGCAGCCCATCAGCCCCGCGGCGGTACCGGTCTGTCCCACCGGCAGCGACCACAGAGGTCTGTGAGCCGTAAACACGGTGCTACCGCCTCGGTAGCCACATTAGCGAGCACGGGCCGTGTCGATGGCGGGTCGCGGCCCGCCGACGCCGTCACCGACGCCATGATTGGAGCGCCGGCCCAGCGGACCGGGGAGGACGACGGTACACGGCCCCGCCGGCTCGGACGGAGCGGGGCAGAGGGCTGGCCGGAGCACGCCACTGCAGGACCCGGCGACCCTACCGGACAGGTGGGCGCGCCACCTTATATGGCCGATCGGCGACCCTGGGGCGGTGGACACTGAGCGGCTGCTGGAAACAATGAGCACCGAACCAAGGGCTGCCGAACCTGTCCAGTGTCCACAACGGACGGGACAGGGAATATCGGAAAAGGCAGGCCGCAGAGCGGTATAGCAACGGAGCGCAGCATTGACTGAGGTATAAGCACGTATGTCGCCCAACATTTAGCACAGCCGACAGCACCCGGCAGATTCCTATTCAATGCTATTTGTAAATTAGTTGAGAGCTTCCCGTTGCTCGGATGTTTATCGAATAGCGGCAGTTGCTGGCGCACGGTAGCAGTGAAAGGTAACAGCTAACAGCTCAGCAGCAATGTAGCCCGCCGCAGGTGCAAAGAGTGCAGCACACCATACGCCTCTGGTCGGCTGGCCTCAAAATTCCAATTTGCATAAGCGAGCCACGGCATGCAGAGAAGAGAGTTAGTCATACTAGCATTGGAAATGAATCACAACATAAGAGAACCGCCACAGACAGATTTCTGGGAAAACGAACAAACGAACGCAATTCGTTATAAGCATGACGTACGGCGGATTGTGTGGGATGGTTCTGCATATACCACTACTGTGCAGTTACGAAAGCAGACAATTCAGCTAGTGGCACGCATATTGTGCAATACTGATCGAGCCGCAGCACTACCCTACAATCATCCAGTCAAGTTGAAGTGGTGATCGATTATCGACGCGATTTTCCGCTGTGCTCCAAATTCGGAGGTAAGCACTGAGTGACGTCACCCGTGTCCACCCCTTGTGGGATGGAAAGTAGGGAGGGGGCAAACCGACATCAAAAACAAGGGTGACAGAACAAAGCCTTGTGACGTATGTCGCCCGACCCAGCCCCCCCCCCTTCCCCTGTGTCCCACCGACAGCGTTCACTGGGCGGCCGCGACCTCCGTCGGCAGCTCAATAACAACGCTATCGATTCCGCAGACTTGCCTCAGCTGTGAGCTCCACTGCCGCCTGTCTGCGCGCACAGGGCCGCACACGACCACACTGGTCTCCTGCGGTACACACCGGGACCGAACACCACCTCCGAGCAGCGCGGCGCGCTCACTGGCGGCGGACTGCCGCGCGGGCCACGCACGCGCCGCCGCTGCCGGCGGCGGGGACACGGCCGACGCCGAGCGCCGCAGTAACCCACTGCAGGGGCCGGGCGGACGGCGGGCGGCAGCGTGCCGACGGCAGCCAGCCAGCCGGTCCGTATACGGCTGGGACTGTCTGAGACAGCGGCGGCCGTGAAAGGGAGACGGCGCTGACAGCCGCTCAGACTGGCCGGTCAAGGCCTTGTTGTCGCGAATCAAAAGAAGAAGAGCTTGACGTCATACAAGGGATGATGTGGCACCTTCCCGGCGCGGGGACTGATGTCAACACAGAGCGGAAGGGTTATTTATGGTATTTATTGGCCGTGAGAGCAGCAGTACCAGCGGTGGCGCACACCGGCCGACCGTCATCCGGACCCAGCCAAACCAGTAGCCACCCATAACGAGACAACCGTCCTGACGTCACTCCAAACCGGCGGCCACGAAATAACTGGGAGCAACTCCCAGCACAGCCACGCGCCTACGTCGCCATCCTAACATAATAATAACTCTGAGACAAGAAATTCGAAGCCGAAAGCTGTCACATCCAGCAGGTGACTATGAGCGCACCGGTAATCCGCTACCTGTCTGCTGCTAGTTCCGCCCGGATCAGGGCGGTGTCTCAGTTTCTGTCATTTTCTCCACCTAGCCTCCGTCGTCAGCTGACCAGTGGGCAATCGATGGGCGGCGGTCTAGCGGCAGTGACCGTCACTCTGGCCGGCCTCCGTTCTCCGCCGGCCCTGACCGGCGCGGCGGCGGCCAGCCACGTGACTGGCCGTAGAGGCCGGCGTTTCGGGCGGCTCACCGGGTCCACAAAGGAAGTGCACGGCCGGTGACGGCCTTCAGGGCGCCACCGAGTCAGTCAAGGCGGCCGGCGTGCCGGTGCGAAGTGAGTCAGAGTCCTCTGGCGTGACTGAGTCTCCGACAGCGGCACGCAGCCCGTCGGCCGGCCAGCTGTGGATCATTATCCCAGACAGCTCCGGCACGCAGGACGGACACTTGTTCCAATCAGGACAGCAAATCGGTCACGGACGTTATCGATCGACCTAACTCGATTTAAATCGATGATCAATAAACGGAACGTTCTTGAATCAGCACAGCCCCGTCCCTCCTGTCATAAGCATCTGGCTAGATTCACTCCGCCTGCTTCCCTTAGACCAGACGCCGTCCGGAGTGGCGCCTGTCTCAGTCGCCGCCCGCTAGAGTTCTCACTCCGAGCGTCCCTCCGACAGCCGCCTGAGGCGCCCAGGTGGGACGCAGGTGGTGCCTGAACTCCGTCACACCCCCATCAGGGAGGGTAGGAGTTGGCACAGGGCCGGTCACTGATCGACGCCGCCGCGCCGAGCGGCGGCCAGATTCCAGTGCCCGGCGACACGAACCGGGCAGGCGTGGCAGCGGCCCAGGACGGGTCAGGGCTGGCAGAAAGCCGGCAGGGGTGGGAGAGGGGGCTGGCAGAGGGTAGAGGAGTCAGTGATGGGGGGAAGGAGCGGGGCGTGGCCGCGGTTGGCGTGGAGCTCGCAGGGGACCGGTTTAAGTCCAGTAACTAGAGAGCAAGTGCACCATGCACGAAACCTCAGTTGTGTAGTGTGTACTGCTTACATACTACTTTCTATGTTTGTAAGCATGTGTGCGATTATTTTGGCTAGTGGGACGGGCCACCTGTTGCCCTATACTCAATGAATGAATGACCCTCTTACTCCCGGTAAATATTCAAAGCGGACTGCGACAGAACATGGCGACCAAACCAGCATAGGTTGGACATTGCAAGACGAATCCTAGCAGCTCGCTGGTCGAGATATTTCACAGCAAACAGAGATTGACAGGCATCACTGGTCATGTTCACATGACAACCACCACCTCATCGACACGCTTGTATAGCGGTATCACCCAAAAATCCCAGAATTAGCTTAACGGATCGTAACCGACGCCGTTCTCCTCAGTAAACACGGTAACGAACACGGAAAGCGAACACGGGAACGGACTCAGCCAGCGCAGCGGAGCGCCGAGAAAACGGTTCCGCTGGACTGCTGAGAGCTGAGACACAGCTCCAGTGAGTCTGTTCCTGACTTCCGTCCGGCGCCACGTCAGCTAAACGTCCTGTGATCATCGACCATCCATCGCTATCGCCCGCATAAGCGGAGGCGGATATGGCGGCTGGCGGGTCCGCCAAGAAAGGAGTCCGGCCAGTTTGGCGGAGGACGTTCAGATTAGCGTTCGGAAACTGCTTAAAATGACTCAGTGGAAGTCATAGACATTAAAATGGAGCTCACACTAGTTCAGACTGGTGATCGAAGCAAGAAGCACCAGAATCAAACGATGCATCACTCGGTAGATGTTTCGAGAAACGTGCAGCTATCGTAACAATATCGACCTATTTTTATTCACCAGCTCTCCCTCGCTCCTTACAAAGATCTTGCAGCGATTCTGACACTAGATTCTCCAGCGCCGACAACTCCTGTGCGCACTTTGCACGTCCCAGGTCGGGAGAGAGTTCTTTGTTCCCCGGCCTGCACCGGCCTCATGCTGGGATCGGGCTACGCTCCATCTGGCGCGGAATGTTGGTACGTGCGCGTCGAGCTCGAGCGAACATGGGTGTCGATTTGTATACCTTTGGGGGTGCTGCAGCACCCCCAATGCTCAAATGAGCACCCCCAATGCTCAAATGAGCACCCCCAATGGTTTTCCGGGCACCCCCAAATGTTCCAGTTTAGCATCCCCAATGATTTGGTCCCTCAAAAACTCCCACTAACTCTGCTTGAGGAAAATAATTGGTTCCGCAGTCTTTCACTACTAAAAATAAAACAATTACGCAATTTACCTACAATGCATGAAATAAAGTTGTAAAGAAAGTAAAAGTTAGTCTTAAGAAGAAGGGCGTAAAAAGATGTTAAGTTGCAAAGACACTGGTGTGGGTCCGTCGTAGACGGGTGTCGGACCCTTAGAGCTGATGGCGTGTACCCTTTACAAGCCGGCAGGGGGCTCCAGAGACCGGCGACGGGCCCTCAGAGGCCGGCAAAGTGCCATCAGAGGCCGGTGGTACCTTCAGAATCTCTAGAGACCGGCACGGGCTCAGATGCCGATGGGGCCCTCAGAGTCGCCGGTGTGGGGCCTTCAAATGTCACCGGTGGGTGGCCATCACATGTGCACTTGTGGGGCCTTCAGAAGCGACGATGTTGGGCCCTCAAAGCCGCCGATATAGGGCCTTAAGAGGCACTAGTGTGGGGCCCTCAGATATGGCAATGTATGGCCCTCACAGGCGCCGTTGTGGGGGCTCTCAGAGACACTGGTTTAGGGCCATCACAGGCGCGCGTGTGGCCCTCAGAACTGCTGTTACGGAGCGGACCCTTCATAGGCCGACAAGAAGATATCAATAGGTCACCGGTGCCATCAGGAGCCTTGTGGGGTTCTCAGAGACCGGCATGGCGCTCTCAGACGCCGCTGGGACCCTCCGAGTCACCTGTGTGGGACCGTCAGGGTCGCTGATAACTGACAAGGGCCCTCAGAACCGCCCATGTGGGGTTTTTAAATGCATTGGTGTGGGGCCTCAGAGTTAGGGGTGTGGGGCCCTCAGAGACGCCGGTGTGGCGCTCAGAGGCGCCGGTGAGGGCCCTCACAGTCGCCGTTATAGGGGCCCTCAGAGAAATAGGTGTGGGGCTATTACAGGCGGGTGTGGAGCTCCCAGAGAGCTCCCAGAGCCCCCTAACCCAGCCAGCAATTTGGTTCGGCGCAAGTCCGTTTTGCCCCGGCAACTCCGACATGCCAGACTCGGGCCGGTATAAAAGGAACGCCGTCAGAGCCGGGGTTTGGGTCGATACGGCTCTATTCCGGTTAGCCAGTCTTGGCCGTAGCGCTCCCGGGTTGGTATGGTTCCGGACCGCCAAGTCTGGCTCAAGTCCGGCTCCCTGCCACGGCTCAAGTCCGGCTCTCTTACGACCAGTCCGGCTGCCTCATAGCTGCTCTGGCTTACTGTGGCTGAAGTACGGTGGAGGTACGGCACGGCTGATGCGGCATAAGTCCGGCTGTGGTGCGGGCGAGCTCCGGGATCGTGTCAGCTCCAGTAGAGCCCCAGACCTTGCCCGTACTTTAGCCGGAGCAAATGCCTGAGCTATCCAGAGTAAAACCAGCTACGGCCAAGGCCAAATTTGCTGGCTGGGAATAGGCCGGTTAGGACCCCCAGAGTCCGGCAAGTGGCCCTCCGAGGCCGGTAAGGGCCCTCAGAGGCTGGCTTGGGCCCTTATGGAGATCTTATTGTTGATACTTGTGGGCCCATGAGGTGTTTTTTACGAGCCCTGTGGGGCCCTTCTGAGTCCAAATATGGTCAACATGGACCCTTATCGGCCAATTGGCGCCGCAGGGCCCCTCAGGCCCGAATAACCCGAGCGGACCGTGAACCTGATGGGGGGGGGGGGGCACGTTCCTCACGGGCCCACCTGGCTACGCCACTGAGGAAAATCGTAAACCTGTAAATATCCAAATGCGATCACCTTTCATTTTTTCAGCGATTATTGTGATCGTCTAATTACTGCCAGAGCATCGTAGCTACCGTTGTCTCCGCGCAATGTCCGCCCCTGCGGACCGCAGCGACTGCTGCACCGGTGCTAATCGCCGTCATCGGTTTCTGTCACCTTTTAACAGAGGTGCCGGGACTGCTGCCATACTGCCGGCAAATATACGACTTTTTTTCGGAAAGATGTTTATGTAATAAGGTAGCCAAGTACTAGGGCGAGCGGAATGATTTTCAAGAAGAACGTTCTGCCCTTGGGAAATATTAGTGGAAATCTCGGCATTATCAGTATTCAGTACCTTATGGGGATAACCAACCCTATACGGTTGTGCCCCATGGCAAAGCTGCAATCTTTCACCCGGTGCAGGGGTTGAGCACCCCCAACCATTTTGAAAAATCGACACCCCTGCGAGCGAAACAACGAAAACAGGAGAGTTGGTGTCACGGAAATAGAACTTCATTCTAATTGGACATGACGGGTGGGTTATTGCACGATGAAAGTGCTCAGTGCTCACTACAAAATTGTATTTGTTCGATGCAATTCAACTGTTTTTGTACCTGTATCACGAAACAGGCACACCAATCGACGTTGTTTCTTCAGCC